ATCCTCCATGCTCTTCCGCCATCTGCTGGCTAAATGCATGTGTGCAGCTCTAGAGAATCCACACCAGAGCCAAGACAGAAGGAGGCCATTTACTACCGTGAGAAAGAAAAAAAAAATTTTTTTTTTCCGGTACCGGGAATCGAACTCACGACCTCGCACTTGCCAGGGAGGCGCTGTGCCGCTGAGCTAAGTTCCCAGCCCCGAGAAAGAAAATTTTTAATTGTTTATAGGCATTCAGAGTTGGGATTGATCTGTCAGCTATAAAATATTAGGGACAAATTTGTTCAATGTTACGGAAGGATCCTTCCTCTTTAGGTTTCTGGACACTGCCCACAGCTGCTGACAGCCCCTGGGGATTTGAGACATCAGTCTCCCGGAGATACTCACTTGAAGAAGCCAAATATTCCTAGCCGGTACTGGGTGGTCACGACCAGCACATCTTCATAGGCAGCTAGAGCTGACCCATCAAAGATGGAGGCTGAGCCACTCTCAAAGCCGCCCCCTGGAAACCACACCATGACCTGAGAAGAGGAGCAGAATACACCAGTTAGCCCACCAGGTACCCACACCACCTCCCCATGCATGCTGCAGTAGGTTTTCTTCAAGGAAATGTGCATGTCTCACTTGCCTATCTAAGTAGGATCAAATATTTTGTCTTTTGTAAAAGGCCCAAGGTTAAGCATCTAGGTGGGTGGGTTTCATTCCCAGCTTTTGCACTGACTAGCTGTGACCTAGAGCAGATTATTACCATTTTTCTCGTCTGTAAATTATGAAGAGTGAAAGTATGTCACTTAGGAAGTTAGCAAGAGGTCTGAACAAGATTCTGCATCTGTTACTGATAAAACATTGCTGGATCACTACAAGTAGTCAGAAGGCATTAACTAAATATCACTGGGCCTGTGACACAGAGGAAGATGGAAATCATTATAAGCCATGAATAAGCGCAAAAGCAACTTAGAATGTTTGAACAGAAGGATTTTTCCTGTCATCAGAGAAGAGAGGAGACAGTAAAGGGAAAGTGGCATATGGAAACCTTACTTTCATTAGGAAAATCAGGACCAGGAAACATAAAATATTCTTCAAATGGTATTATCATTATTTATACATTCAACAGATCGAGACAAAGAAATCTACACACAGAATCCAGTCACTTTCCTATACACCAATAATGAACTCACCAAGAAAAAAAATCAGGAAAACATTTCCATTCATAATAACTTCGTAAAAACCATGTACCTATGTGTCAGCTTAACCAAGGAGGTGAAAAACCTATGTAATGAAAATTAAAGAACCCTTGAAAAATTGAAGAGGACATTAGAAAATAGAAAAACATCCCTTGTTCTTGGATAGGAAGGAATAATGTCATGCAAGTGGCAATATTACCAAAAAAGAGATCTCTAGATTTAATGCAGTCCTTACTAAAATACAAAAAAAAAAAATTTTTACAAAACTAGAACAAAAAAAAATTATAAAATTAATATGGAATCAGAGAAAACCCACAGTAGCCAGATCAGTCCTGAGGAAAAAGGGTAAAGTCGGAAGTATCACAATACCAAATTTCAAGTTATGCTACAAAAACAACATGCTACTGGCATAAAAGCAGGCATGTAAATCAGTTGTGGTGGTACATGCCAGTAATCTTGCACTATAGAAAGCTGAGGCAGGAGGAACACAAATTTGAGCCCAACCTGGGCAGCTTACCAACTTAGGGAGACACTGTCACAATTTAAAAGGGGGGAAAGGGCTGGGAATATAGCTCAGTGCAAAGGCCCTGGCCTCACTTCAATTCCCAGTAACACCACACACACACACACACACACACACACACACACACACAAACACACACACACTCGCAAAAAAGCAGACATTTGACATGTAGAACAATGGGTAGAATAAAAGACACAAAAGTCACTCTGTGCACATTAGCCATCTGATTTTTGACAAAGGGGCCAGAAAGATGCTGAAAAAAACAAAACCTTTCTAACAAATGGTTCTGGGAAAACTGGCTATGCACTTACATAACACTGAAATTAGGTCTCTCTCATTCAGTACTAAAATCAAATCAAAATGGATCAAAGACATACAAGTCAAATAGAAACCTTGAAACTGCTGGAAAGCAACATAGGGAAAACATTTGAAGCCATGGGCACACGGACTTCCTAACTAGGACTCCAGTAGCACAGTAATAACATCAAGAGTCAATAAATAGGAATACATCAAATTGAAAGCTGCAGAGCAAAGGAAAAAATCAACAGAGGAGACAGCCTACAAATTGAGAGGAAAAAATTTGCTCGCTATTTTGATAAAACATTAATATCTAGATTATATAATGAATCAAAAAATTAGACCCTCAAAGTACAAATGACCCAGTCAAAAATGGGCAAATGAACTAAACAGACACTTCGCAAAAGAAATACAAATGCCTAGTAAGTATATGAAAAAATGTTCAATATCTTTAGCCATTAGAGAAATGCAAATCAAAACAACTTTGAGATTCCACCTTACTGTGGTCAGAATAGCTGTCATCAAGAGCACAAAAAACAGCGAGTACTGGCAGGGATGCAGGGGAAAAGGAGCTCTTCTACATTGGTGGTGGGGATAAAACTAGTGAATCCACTATGGAAATTGGTATGGAGAAGCCTTAAAAAACTAAAAGTAGAAATACCATTTGACCCACCTATATCTCTCCCGGTTATATTCTCAAAAGGAGTAAAAATATCATACTCTAGTGATACGTGCATGCTCATGTTTAAAATTCACAATAGCTACGCTCTGGACACAGCCTAGATACCCATCAACAGACAAATGGATAAATAATATATGGTATACATACACAATGAGACACTGCTAGCTAAATATCACGTTTTCTCTTATATGAGAGACCTAGACTATAAATTAATTAATTAATTAATTAAGGGAGATAGGCTAGGAAATTAGAAGGTAGACTCTTGCAGATGGGGAAAGGGATGGAAGGGAGGAAAGGGAGAGGAAGGTAAAAAGATTCAAATTGAACAAGATACATTGTATGCACACACCAATTCCCTGAAACAAACATCATTATTGTGTATTACAAACATGCACTGTTAAGTAATAAAACCAACAATAGTAAGTATGTTCCATTCTCTTAAGTTCACATAAGAGAATATAACCCTTGGGGCAGAAAAATAGTAAAAAAGTATGGAGGAAAAAGGAGAGCTGGACAGAACACTGGCTCCAGTACCTACTGTTTATGCAACATGGAGCAAGTCCCTGTGCACACCCCAGGCCTCTTTATCTATAGAATGGGCCTGGCCACTCTTATACACTGCATTACAGTGGGAGTTAAATGATGTAACATTTTGTGCCTAACACATAGTAAGCGTTCAATAGATATTGCTGCTATGATACAGCAAAACCCAGGAGATGAACACTGGGAAGGTATGGCTAAAAAATAAGTCATAGAACCAGGCTTTCCCTCACTCACTTCTACAGGGATCTTTTACATCCTTAGATCAAATACTTAACATTATTGCCTGTTTCAATTAAAAAAAGCAGAGTTGGGGGAAGGAATTATCCTCTTAAAAAGAGTTCTCAAGTTTAAAAAAAAGAAACCAGGGTCCCATTATGTAATGTGTTTCCTAAAAGTTGACAGACCATTCAATATTCACCAGAGAGGGAAAACAAAATTAAATAAAAAATAAAGTTTAAGTCTCTGCCAATAAAGAGTCAATCAGGAAAATATAATAAAATGAATCACTCATTATAATAATTTTTTTTAAAGTAGTTGGTGTGGTTACAATTCCCCTTTATCCAATAGAGGCTAAGTCTGATTCCAGAGAGCCAACCCCCTGCCTGGATCCCAAGCCAATGACATGCTAACTAGAACCCCAAGTACAGCTGGCAGTCTTACAGGGAGATTGGAGCCCGCATTTGCATGAGCTGGTGCATAGATGTTAAGGTATAGGCAGTCTTCCGACACTTCAAGTTTAGGGTAATGCACCTTGAGAATGCGCTGATTTAATAATATCCACTCCAAGTTCTGGAAACATCTAGAAGGAAGGGAGAAAAAAAAAAAAGACCCCAGAACCGTAATCAGCAAATCTGTCTAGCAGGGCCCAGTACTTGAGACAGTGGTGAGGAGTGAATATCTTTTCTGAGCAGGAGACACATATGGTCTGATCATACCCAACCCTCATAGTTTTCAAAACAACCACATTCACAAGCAAACCATTATTCTCTTTGATCTGGGTCCCAGGTAGAAAAGCACATTGTTCCAGGTAACTGTATCATTAACACCAGCACACTCCCATGCCTACACCCACTGCAATATAGACACGCATAAAGACTCAAGCCAGATCAACAATTCTCCAGATTGTGCAGGGCAAGACACTGACTTGACTATCAAAAATTTCATTCTTGGAGTTACCTCCTCTGTCCCCACAACAGCAAAGGAATACTTCCAGGCCTCCTTACCAGGAACCTACTGATGTACATTTGCAGAGACACTCCTACATTCAGGTGCTATTTAAACTCCCTCCACCTAAACTGTTCTTTTCCATATCTTCTGCATCACAATCCTGCCTTTCTTGTGGATTCAATCCAAGTGCCATCTCTTCCAAGAAGTCTTCTAAAATGTCTCCAGTTGGACCATAGCTCTTGTTTGGACAGACCCATACAATATATGTTTTGTCCTAGGCTTGTATATGAGCATTATCATCTTACCCAACTTAACTGTGAGCAGCTAAATGCCTAGGGTTCTGTATTAGTCACTGCTGTACTGCATAGCTCTTGGCCCAGAGCTTGACATACAGTGAGACTGAGACTGTGTATGTAGATATTCCTACCATCTAAGTCAGCAATTTCTTAATAGAAGGGTGTACAGCATGAACAATGGGAAACCACAGCTCCATCTACCCTTTTTTGAATATTGTTTATCACAAGTTCAGGCCTCACTGCTTTCAGCAAAGTCATCTCTGATCTTTCCTGGGCAGCTGCTGGGGAAGGTTCTCTGTGCTCCCTCACCCTTCTCTGACCCACTATGGTTTCCTTGCCACCTTATATTTCAACTGTCAGTTACTACTTTTGTCTCACCACCAGTCTACATGCTCTTTTAGGGAAGCTATAACTACAGTCTCAAATTATGATTTTTCATCTCTACAAAGGTGCCGAAGCAATATGCACTAGATAGAAACCACACTACAGGTTTTGAGTTTTAGTCTTTTCCCAGGTAGCTGTATGTAGGCTGATACTCTTAAGATACTCAGCAGTGGCTATGAGCCACAGCTCCCAAGATCATAATGGGAAACAACCAATACTCTACAGAGTACTTTGTGGCTAAGCTGTAATGTTCAATAGGTTAGGTGTAGTTAATGCACTTTCAATTTACCATGGACTTACTAGGATATAACCTTATAAGTCAGAAAAGATCTGTAATCCACTCATCCCAAGGTAACAGAGAGCAAATAATTTAGCTGATTCTCAATGGTTATTAGTTGAGTGAATGAATGAGTGAAGCAGCAGACAAATTTTGTCTCAGTGTCATCAGTCCCTGGACCACATGAAGTAATCATGGAGCATCCTGGCACTAAACTACCTCTTTGCCCCAAGACCCCAATGCCAGGAAACAGTGTGGCTTAACCTAAGGACTTCATAAAATCTTCAGATTCCAGGGGATTTTAAAGTCTGGCTCCCCACCCAGAAGCCTCCTCTCATTTCTCCATAATTAACCGATAACTTATTACACACCCAAGCTTGCAAATCTGCAGTGATGCGGAATTCCTTACTTCTTGGGTCCCAGAGACATTCTTGTAATTATTCCACAGGTATCTATGACATTCCCACTATAAGCCAGAAATTGCACTGAGCAGTTTTGATCATGGAATATAGGTCCTTAATGTAGTTATTATATCCTTAATATAGTTATTTGCTGCAGCCCTGCCCAAGTCTGACTGTAGAGGCCAGCCATGAGTGAGAGGTCACAGAGAACACTGGGACAACCCAAGCACTTTCCACCTTTCAACCGTAAGACTCAGGAAACCCTTCACAACACTTCCTAAATCCAGCTGGTGTTCAGAGTTCCCAGATAGCTCTCAGATCATAAAGATTCCTGGGCATACATTGAGACTGAGTTTCCATCTCAGGAAGGTCAGAAGGGAGACCAGAGAATACAGAGATTTTTAACAATGCCTCCAGCAATTCTAGTAAGCCAGTTTAGGAGCCCTGAGATACTGAAATACTCTCCTAGATCCATGGCCCTCCCCAACCCTCCTCTCTGATGTCCACTCTTACTCTCCTTTGCCCTTGGGTTGCATGACTTTTGTTCCCATTTAATGATTTTTTTTAATCCCCAACTCCCAGAGTCACAGGCCACCCATGAGACCGAGCCTGGACTTACAATGGAGGGTAGGAAGTGGCCTCTCGCAAGTCATTCCAGGGCATTGCTGGCTCTGGGTTTGCAAATCTTAGGTGTCCCAGAGGGGGCATGGCAAAGGGGATTCCAAGGAACACATTCACAGGTGTGGAACTTCCCAGAACTGTGACTTGCTTTCCCCGGACCCATCCCAGCCTGGTGTTCCTCTGCGGCACTTCAGTCACAGGCTCTGAGGAAACATATGTGAGGAATAAGGAGCTGCCTGCAAAGAGGCAGGAAACTGACTCAACAAGTGCTCCCCTTGGAGCTGTTATTTCTCCACCCTCAGGCCATACAACAGGAGAAGCTGAGTCTGTTCTCCATGAATCCATGTCCTCCACTTCCTTCAAAATTACCTCGGAAGTCACCATCACCAGAGCACAGGAAGTTGCTGCTAGGAGCCCACCGCCATCTGGGAGTACAAAGAGAAGGCTCCCATCTGCTACACTGAAGCTTTCCCTTTCTGTCACACTGACACAAGCTGGGCTCTGTCAATGCCAGGACTCCACCAAATTATCTGCCCAGGATTTCCCACACTTCTGTCACTTCCATACCTGCCAGCAACTCTGTTGGCATGTCTGTGGATCACCTGTACAGTTACCAGCTGTTTATTTTTCTGGAAATTGAATAAACTTTAAAATTTTAACCTAGAGGAATCCTAAGCAGTAGAATGTATAAATTTGTGGTTTTAATCAGTTAGGTAGACACATAGGGAAATTAATATGCTTTAATGAAAATATAAAAATTCTCATGCAAATGTCACCTGAAATGATCTCTTCCATTTCCAGTGGTTTGAAGATAATACCTGGGGAGACTGGGCATGCTAACATCTCAATTTCCACACAAAATATGAAGTCTTGAGAAGAAATTGGCCCTCAGTATATCTAGCAGGACCCAGATATCTCGGCACTATGTGTTCTGATGTAATTTCACTGCTAAAAATCTTGTTTCCACAGCCAAGACTACAGAAGCCCAGTCTCTGTCCCATAGTCCTCCCCGGTACCAAGGCTGGGCCTCTCCTTGCAAGGAGAAACCCAAAGTCTATCCACACCCAACAAGAAGACTCTGGCCCAGGGATCTCAGTGACATTAGGCATTTCCACCACTGGAAAATCTTCCCCACTCCTCTCCCACTGGACATCTCACCCACGGTGGCAGCTACAAGGATCCAAATGGCCCAGCTTAGGGCCCATTCCCGGCATGGGTACACCCATTCCACACTCATCTAGCTGGTCCACCTGAGCCACAGCTGCTGCTGGCCTTAAAGAGCTTCAGTCAGGGAGAAGAAATGGCTTTCTGCTAATAGACAAATGCCAAGCAGGCAGACACAGGACACAGAGGTAGTAAAAAATAGCATCAAACCAGTATTTTCATAGGAATTGGCCAAGCGAGACATTTCTGTTCTGATTTACATAAAAAGCTGCTGATGATTAACCCTTGTGTGAGGAAAGATCACTTGGTAGGATTTGGATTCATCAGATGACAGAAGTCAAAAGAATATTCAGGATCAGGTAAAGCCAGGATCTCAAATTCAGATACCTACAGGAGCTAGGAAGGAAATAAATCAACAGTGCATGAAACCAGCTGGAAGAGACAACAAGGAATGGTGCAAACTGTGGAAAACCAGGTAACTAAGTGACTTCACTAAATATTTGTGTTTTGACACTGTAGATAGATTAAACCACAAATTAATCATATCTCTTAGTTTTTAAATGTGACTTTAGTTTTTTAAAAATACCATGTGAGCTCAACACAGTATTTCTACTAAACTGGGTTATGATCTATGGGCTAGACTCAGGCTCTCCACTGTAAATACCACCAAAAAGACCCAGAGCAGTGAAGTTTGATAAGCAGGTCTGCCAGGACCTGCCCCCAGGGCTCTTTGCAGTGCTCTTTCTAATATAAGTCTCTGAACAAGAGTTGGGGAATCCAAGGCAGGGCCAAAGCAGGACACAGAACATCACCACACCGCCCCCGAGAGGATCCCTGAGTCACTTACTAAAAGGCCCACAATGGGGCTTCCCAAATGCTTGGGGGCTGGACTGGCAGAGTAAATTATCAAGGATAATTGTTGAAAACTGCGTCCCTCTGCCCTGGCCCCTGGAGATCTGGAGATCTAACAACAGCAATACAAAGTTAGGGAAGCACCCATCTAATTCAGGAGCTCTCTCAGAGTAGTCACCTCCTGAGAGTGGAAGGACACCACAAGCAGGTATTTTGTGCCTTTTAGATGCAGAACTCTGTGTGACAGGGAGTGAAGGCTTTCGCCAAGGGGCTTCTGATGTGCTTTGCTCTAGTCAGGTTCTCCTTAAACCTTTGCAGATTTGAAGCCCTCCAGTAAACAATCTCTTTTTCTCCAATTCAGTTACATTCCTGATATATTGCTGAAAGTGGTATAAATTATGGAATGAGGACTTCAGCAGAATCTTAACTTACATGAGTGTTTAAGTCAGCAAAAATCACTTATATTTCAAATTGCCCCTAAAATCCAGTGACCAACAGTGGACAGCAGACCCCATGAACGGTGATAGTTAAGAACTATGGACTTGGGCTAAGGAAGAAAGGGACTGTTTATATTATACATCTAGCTGTCCAAGCTGTCTACCTTAAGGTGACCTTAAATCTCTGGAAGTGAAAGAGGGATGGGTGGAAATTTCTAAAGTGTTTCTAGATTTCCTGCAGTTCTAACTTGTTTAGACTTAACATTAGGAATACAAATAGCTTAAATGTTTACAGACATATTTGCTGTTGAGAGGATTCAAAGACTTTCAGCTTTTTAATATTTTATTTTTATAACATGTTCATTGTACATATTAGTGGAATTCACTAGGATATTTCAATACATACATACAATTTACTGATCAAATCCAGCCTCCATTTATAGCCTTTTAGACATCAAAGCTCATGTCCTACCTATATAATAGCTGACCAATAGTGTTTGCTAGATTAGACTCTTAACCTTACTAGTTTAGACCTACCAGCATACTGGTTTTTTTAAGCTGTGAAGAAGAATAGGACTTTTTCTACATGCCTTTCCAATGGTCTCTTCCTGTATGGTAGCCCTAAGCAGCTAGATGCTCTTACTCACGGCTGTGACCCCTAACAGACACCTGAGCTCTACCTTGGTCCTGCCTCAGAACCAACAGTGTCATTGAATAAACTCCCTATGATGAGAACTGTACAGATATTTAAGGATTATGAATTTCAGAGGCCAGAATTTGATTGATATTTCCAGACCTGCCTATGATATCAGAAAAACACATAGGAGGTGGAAAGACAGATAAGATTCAGAGAAGAGAGAGATGTTGCTGACAGAACAAGTGACTGACTGTGAAAGCACAAATTTTGCCAACTCGACATAGTATCTGGGCTGACCAAGATGAAGATAACCCAAGGACAATCTGCCCATTTGTCTATATCCTCCTTTGGCAACCCTTAGGTTTTAAATCTAGAATATCCCTCAAAATGCTCAAAGGCAGAGCCGTTGGAAGGTGATGGGGCTGTAGGGCCACTGTGTGTATCAGTAGATTCATCCGCTAATGAGTCCAGCAGCTAAGTGTGCTACTAAGAGGTTAGGGTCTGGTTAGAGATGGGTGGTGGAGGACGTGACCTCGAGGGGTATATCTCCCTCCTGCTCCTCCCTTTTCTTTCCACTTCTTGGTCATGGTGAGGTGAGTGGTTTTCCTCTACCAAGCCTTTCTTGCCTTGGAGCCAGCCAGCCAGGAACTGAAACTTCTAAACCTGTGAGCCGAAACAAACATCTCCTCCTTTAAACTGGAGGTGTCAGGTTTTTGTCAGAGACGCAAGAAAGTGACTAAGACAACAACCTAAGAGTTTCCGTACCAGTCTTCCTTTGCTGGTTGCCTCCACAAAGATTTTCTGTGGCCAAGAACTCTGTCCTTCCATCCAATCAGAAAGAAGATTAATGCTCTATACTGTTATTCATTCAACAGTTTTAAAAGCAGCTTTACATTCAGCATGCTGTTGTTACCTGCCTCCCTTATCATTTTGGATGCCTTTCTTCTCCAGCTCCTTATCAGGTAAGGTCAGTTCCACTGCCTCCCAAGAACCTTCCCCAGTTCCCCTAAACACCTTGTTGCTTTGCTTTTCCAATCACTCTCATTTTGTAAATAGTTGTGACCCAGACTATCCTCCCGCTTCAGAGTACACCTATGTCTTTTCATTTATGTGTTCATCTCAGCTTCACACACACCCTAGGGCTTCTCAAAGTTCAGCCCTTGACCTATCTTCACAACTTGCACCATGCTCGCCACCTTACTTGACATTTTCCTTCAATCAAATGATTTTCTTAAAAAACATCTATCAAAGAGAAGTTTATACATCTAATTCAATGGTGATAGTGTTTTTAAAAGAGCAAAGCAGCATGTTTTGCATTTCTGTACCACAAAATCACTCCTCTGACCCCTGATGACTCTATGGTGTAATAATAGGGTAGGGTGTAATGCACCCCACCAAACAAACAAGGCACCATGGAAAATCTGCCCCTCCTGCACTGTGGATCTTAGAAAGAAAAAGATAACAGAGGTAAGGAAGGCAAGGGCTGACTCAAAGTGTCCTGACTCCCCTCTTAGATGGAAATCCAAGTGGCAGGGATACCAAGCAGGGGGAGTGGAATACAGCCTTGGTTCTCTTGGGGGAGACTGCACCAGACTACAGCAGCTCTGAGTCGACCTCAGGCAGGCACAGCAGAGTAAAAGTGATCGGGGCAGGGGAGATCTCAAGGGGTAGTCCCACTGCCCTTGGATCTCCTATCCCTTGAAAGAGGCCAGACATCATAAGACAGCCTTAAAAGGAGTCAGAAGTGATTATAAGTCTGGGTAAATTCTGGAGAAATAAGGACAGGGATTAAGGGATCCAGCGGGGCTTTCTAGGCTCAAGAAAAAAAATGTAAGCATAGCCTGTCCTGGGGTGGAACCCAGGGCTGAATGCTGGGTAGGTAGGGGAAGAGCAGTGGACTTGGATCAAGATAAGAGCACAGACCATTAGCACCTCATTCTAGAATCTGTCATCCTTCCAGAACACTGGTACAGAGGAAAGTTGCTATGGAGACCACAACAATAGCAGGACCTCTGTAAATGGGTCCCACTGGCTCTTTACTCATACATCTTGGAGATGCGATTGGATGGAATAAGGAGACAATCTGAGAGTTATGGATTTATTTTTAAGAGATCTTGTTCCTTACAGAGACACCTTAAATTAAGAACAGAACTGAGTTTACTATATTGAGTTAAATGTCGCTTTTGCCATTAACTAGAAAGGTAAGTTATTCTTGTTAAAACAAAATAAACAAGCATGAAATATATAAAACATTCTACCTCCAAACTAAGCCTATGTCTTCCACAAATCAGAATGGAAAAAGAACTATACAGAAAATAGTTTTCTAATTATATACCTTTTATTGGCTATTCTGTTCAGGTATCACTTATGATTATCTTAGACATCCTTTAAAAATACAAGATCCAAACCCTGAGAGAGACTGATGTGTCAAGACACAATGACATTAGCTCATATTCAAGGAATGTCATGCAGGTATGAGACACTGGGGTATATACTTTGCATCTATTACCTGATTTGATACAATTATTTCCATTTTGTAAAATGAGTCACTTGAGGCTCTGTAAAGTAGGATGATTTGTTCAATATCACAAGACTTAGAAGCACAGCTACGACTTGAGCCCAGTCTTCTTGCCTCCAAGCTGCAGTCTTTGTGCTTTGTGGGTGGGAGAGTAGGAAGTGAGGAGCAGTAGGAAGGTTAGGGAGGGTGAGCTGGCTGACCTCTGCAGTTCTTGGCCATGAAAAAAATCACTAAATGTCTTAATCAACTGACTAACCAATTGATATTACCTTCTTGGGCCTTGCAGGCCTCACCAAGACACAAATACAGACTTTTGATCAGCTTCCCTGTTCTCCCAGATTGCTCTAGGGAAATTCTGAGGGAGAAAACTAGAACTAAGATCTCAGCCTAAGGCTTGTCTTGAAACATATACTAATATTGTACCTGCTGATAAGCAGAGCAGATCAAAGGCCACTTCTGGATTCTCAAGGGAAATGCTAAAGGTATCTTGAAGCAATGAGGGCAGTGGCATCTGCTTCAAGGTAGAAAGCAAGCTGGAGGTGGACAAAACAAATGAAGGATGCCCTGGCACTAGAAGCAGGTCACTGGGTCGTGTTTTCTCACTCCTCATGGGTCCAGAGCTGGGAAGTCTTAGAGTTTCCTTCTTGTAACCTGTTCCTTGAACCCCATCTGATATGTGTGTTAAAGCCAAACACTTTAACTTGATTTTCAGATCATTTCTCATCTGGCTTCATCCTACCATTCCAAACCAATGCCCCACTGTATCTTCGCCATTGCAACCCCATCACTGCATCTCCATCACTGTAGCCCCGCCACAGCACTGATTACTGTGCTCCATCACTGCAGTCTCATCACTGCATCCAATGTTTGTTGCTTACATTTTCCTCTCCTGTAATACTTTGCCTTGACATCCTCACCTATTTAGCTTTCAAGATCCCATAAAATACCATTTCCTTCATGCTGACTTCTTCATGTCCAAATGCTAGAATTACTCTGATCGTTGCTCCTGTGTACTTTTTTAATATGTCTCTGTTATTTACAATATCTTGTTCACCTTCTCCAGCTGACTCAGCCACAAATCATGATTTATGATGATGACGACAACAACAACAATGACGATGACAAGAGCTCTCGTGTCAATTGTAAAACCTCAGCCCATTTATGATGTAAGTCATATCTCCATAGGACAGTCAGGTGCAGGTCCAGCACCACCTTGCACTAACAAAATACCACTTGAAGCAAGCATAAGCCATGTGGCTATTTTCTGCCCTGGGGCCTTATCCTCATCAGAGAAGTCCCCTCTGTCTTTCCTCATATGATACCAGAATTATAGGATAGTTAAGCCCAAGGAAAACACTTGATAAAAAGGTTGTGAGAGGTGAGAGAGCTCTGGAAGAAATTCGTATGCTGCTCAGTAGATGGGAGAACTAAAGAAATCAGGTTCTCATTGCTCACAGCAGCAATCTCTATATCTGTCCCCTTGTCCTTCTTTGTCCCTTTTCCTCTTTCCTCTTTCCAAAGGCTCACCACCTAAATAATCTACCTTCTTACCTATAGCCTTGTCTCAAGGAACTGAATTAGGTTCATTGGTACTAGAACCAAACTGCGGTGCAAACCCCAGTGGAATTTTGAAAGTGGGTCATTCACCAACCACATAGCATTCCATAACCAAGCCTCTCAGTGGTGGGCTAAGTTGAGTTTTAGATGGAGGGGAGGCTCTTAGGAATGCATTAACTTTAACATGTGTAGGTAGAGAGGCAACAATGATTATAAAGGTTGTGATATTGACTAGCTCTTGTGAAATGCCTTGGAAACCTGAAAGAAAATAGCAGACTCAATCAGCTATTAGTGTAAGTTATGCCATGAAAATCAGAGGCCTTCAGGAAGCTTTTAAAGATAACTTCAATTCTTGGAATTATAGCAAAACGATGCAGAAAAATTAGACCTAGTGTTTAGCCATAAGTGTGGAAGAACTACAAAGGAGGTTGAATGTGCAGCCTTAGAAGATCTCCTAAGCTAAAGTTAGGACCCCAAAACATAGGGTGAGAGAGTGGGCAGATGCATTTGAGAACCATGAACACCCAGATTCTCATGAACTCTGCAAACCACCAAATGTAACACTGTCACCCTTGCTGCAGGAGAATAGACATTCCTACTCTGATAACAAAACACAGACTCAACCTGTGGTACATCTCTCACAAGATAAAGCTTTCCCTCAGGAAGCTCACTCTTCTCAACTCATTGCTCCAGGCCAGTAGGGTTTTGAGAAATGGACCATTCCGGCTCTTGGATCTCAGCATTCCCTGGAGAAGAAATTATAATCCCTCATGCCTTTCTCACTGGATGAATTCTATGTGTGGCTACAAAACAATTGAATGGGAGTGATTCTTGAGGTGATGGGATTGAGACAGGGGTCAAAAGATGAGATTCGGTAGGAAGGAATTTATTACTATAAGAACACATGTTCATGGTTCAGGATTAACTGTCCTGCCAAAATGCCTAATATGCTGTCAGAGTGGAAGGGACATAGATGAAATGTGGACTGAAGAATTCACCACTAGTGTGCTCTTGAGAAGGACACCCAGTATCATTAAGAAGTTTGGCAATTGCCCTCTTCTGTAGTGCAAGGGGCATGGTAAGCATTAGCGATGTGGGTTCATTAATATCCAAAAGGATGATAGAGCCTCAAAATAGTACAGGCATTCAATGGTCAGAAACCAGGAGGCTATAATTATTATAATGACCACAAATGCCAAAAGATCAGACCAAGGACTTGACCTGTAAGAAGTAGAGAGCTGGTTAATGGAGCACGGTGTCTGTACGGGCAAAATAGAGGAAGAAGCAGCAATGGAGGAGCTAGCAGGAGGCTGAGGGTGGTTTCCCCAATAAGAAGCCTTTCTTAAACGTTCCCTGAGGCTCCCCTGATCTCCCACTTAGGCATTATCTATTTACAGCCCTCATTACCCTCTGCCAGTGTGCAGTCTAGTAGTACCTAGCATTTTCTAGTCTTTAAGGACTCTGCTCTTACATTTTTTCTAATGCATACCTCATTGTGACTACTACATGATTCCTATCCACCTCGGACATTTTTCCAGGTCATTACCAAGAAAAATCTTTAGCAACTACTGTCCTATGACCCCCTCTGTGAATTGCTAAATTGGCCCACAGAATTCAGGAAAACACTTTGCTTATGTTTATCAATATTTTACAAAGGATGTTATAAAGGGAAAAGATGCACAGCAGATAACGTGTGTACACAGCAAGATACATGGGAAAGGGCACTGAGCCTCCATGCTATCTAGGCATGCCAGCTTCCAGAAATTCCATATATTCAGTGATCCAGCAGATCTCCCAAATATGTCATTTTGCAGATTTATGTAAGCTTCATTAGTTAGGCATGACTAATTAAATAATTGGTGATCAACTCAACATTTAGGCTCATTGGTGATCAACTCGGCATTTAGGCCCCCTCACCTCCCCAGAGATTGGTAGGGGGAACTGAAAATTTTAACCTTCTAATGGTGTGTGTGATTTTCCTGACAACCGGCTGCATCCCAAGGCTATTCAGGAGCCCCCAGCCAAGAGTCATCACATTAGCATTAAAAAGGTGTTCATCATTCTGAGGATTCTGAAGGATTTAGGAGTTGTATGTCAGGAAGTGGGGGTAAATACCAAATACATATCTCACAGTATACATTGGGCTAGTCTTAAAAGCTCTGTACAGACTCTCAATTGGGTTTCAGAACAAATCATAACAACTTTTAAGACAGCAATGGATCACAGTCACCTTCACTTAAAGGAACTGGATCTTGGTGCCTCTGGTAGCGGCATAAACTGAATGTGAGAGGGTCTGGCAAGCCCTGAAGAAGGATGGGCCTCCTGTATATATCTATCCCATCAGATTGAAAAGGGTTAAAAATATGGGAATGTAAAGAAGGGCAAAGAAAAGAGACAGAAAGCTTCAGATAATACCCTGAGACAGGTTGAAAAAAATGAAAGAACCTGCACTTATTGACTGGAGGAAATATTCAGTTTAGAAAAAGAGAATCAGATCACCTATTCTCAAATGTCAAGGAACATTCAAAGGAGTTTAAAACACCATAATGTTCCGGGCATGGACTTGAATTAAGTGGCTTTTCATTTTACTGGTGTGTGTGTGTGTGTGTGTGTGTGTGTGTGTCTGTGTCTGTGTAATCTGAGAAGGTAAATGTGAAAAAAAATCCTAAGCAAGCATTTAAAGATCAATTAATGTTGCTCTTGCCAGAGTTCTTTCAGAGAACAAAAATGTAAGGAATACTTTCCAACTGCTTTAATGATGTTATGGGGAAGTAACTCCTGATCTGTTAAATATGCTGAGTCTGTGTCTTAGGAGTTTAAAGAATGAACTCGAAGACAAAGCAGGTGAAGAGTAAGAAAGTTTTGTTAAGAAAAAGCTCCTGAGAGGCAGGAGAGGTCCTAAAAGTGGGTTGCTGCCAAGGCTCTTCTTCAAGGGGTTTTTGACACAGCAAAATCACCTTGGGTTATAGTTTAACCTAAGGTAATCTATGATGTTACTGTGGGTTAAACTATACTCACCTATAGGTTTACAAGTGCAGTCACGCAGCTAATATTGATCTAATAGAAAAGCAAGCTACATAGCAAGGATACGTAGCATGGAGAAGAACAAAGGCATTTCTGGAAGGAGTAGGAGTGAAGGTCAGAGTGTTCTGTCATGGGTCTGTGCATTTATTACATTGTTCCTAAGTGTTTGTGATGTTGTTTAGGCTTTCTAGATCAGATGGTGCTAGTTTTTTAGCTTTCAGCTGCTGTTTATCTCTGGAGAGGCTGGCAGGACTTCCCACCCTGTCTTCATCTTGGGGCCTAGTTTCTATCAACTCATTCCTCAACCACAGGTCTGGTTTGCTTCATGTCTGTTTGGACTCTGTCTTGGGCCTTGTCCCTTTTTAACTGCCTATTAATCTCTACCTAACTTAGCTATCTGAAATAATGAGACTACATTATCTTGATTCCAAAACCCACCAAGGACCTTATGAGTAAATAAAAATCAAATATTGATCTCTCTTATGAATGTATGCAAAAAGATCCTTTCAAATATTATCAATTCAAATCCAGTGCTATATAAAAGCACACAACACAACTGACTGAGGCTTACTCCTAATGTTACAGAAGTCCAGCTACTTACCACCAAAAAACCAGTATGCAGAAGGTAAGAATTGGTGAGAAGGGAATCAGTTTACCCAAATACAGGCCCTGAGAAGATGAAAGAGAGTGCTATCGTCACAAAACGAAGATCATCTTAAGAGAATTTATGGGTGTGAAAGTGTTTTTATGGGGAAGAAGAGGAGCAAAGGGGCAAGGTACGATGACTACCTTGTGATGAGTTCTGTGTTGCACATCCAAGTTCAACAACCATCTCCGTCACTCTGAAGATTTTTTGTTTCTGCTAAGATGTCCTTATGATAATAATCAACCTTTGTGTCCTAGCCCAGTCCCCATAAATTTTTAGACAAACACATTTTTTTCTTTTTAATTAAGGAACAAGATCAACAAGTCTTTGGTCTACACTTTGATGTTATCTGAAGACCATCTGATGTCCTGGGTTCAGTAAATGTAAGGAAAAGTTACTGATTAGTAAGTTTTATGACTCGTGTCTTTTTAGCTCTTTTTCCCGGTAATATCTAAACTGACAGTTAATCAACAAGATACAAAAGACATGTTTTGCCAGGGAATAAAGAGACATAGTGACAAGCAATAGTTTTAATTCATGAGGCAACTTAAATCAGAAGACACTTCTAAAGCCAAGCTATAGATATCACTCAGCTGTATGACTTCCAAAATGAAGTGATTTTTAAATACAAGTAAGGGAAAGTATTTATTTAGATTTTCTCTTGGTTATCAGGCATGCAAAGTTGGTTTAATATTTGAAAATCAATCAATGTGATTTACATAGTACCAAATGTTCTATTTTGATATAAAGCTTAAGGAGTCATCACTTTTGCTTTAAGTCTGCTTACAAAAGCACTAATAGAGTTTTCCTTTCCATTAGGACAAATTCACTTGTTGTCACTGCTATTGTAGCAAGAAGCAAACATTGAAAATTTTTGAAATTATATTTTTAATTAGGACTACGACCATCAAAGAACTGTGGACACAGAGAAGTCTAATTGAACCAAATTTCAGAGGGAACAAGCTGTTCCTAAATGAGCAGATGAATATAGATGAGTTCAGTTATATGTTTAGGAGAAGTTACCAAGTTAGGGTCACACATAGGTATGAAAATGAGCCCACCATAGGCTAGGGGGTTTTTCAGGGACAAGGACAAGCTACTTAAGCTCCTAAAGTCAAATATGGGTTAGCCCAGCAGATTGATATCTGGAAAAATCCCAAACACAGGCTTTCCGCTCCCTGACTGCCAATTCTCTTCCACAAGAATTTTGCTGAATACGCAGTAGCACTGAGAAGCAGAGAAAAATGCTAGAAAATAGAAAACAATCTTCTGTATTCACAAATCCCCACAGAATAGAGATTTGAGTCGATCTGCAAGACATTTGAATCTAGAGGTCAACTATGAGTAACCAAAGTCTCAACCCTAGACCACTTCAGCTTTTGATTAAATTGATAGCAACAGCCTTAGTTAAAATATCTGGCATAAAGCCTGGGGATGTAGCTCAATGGCAGAGTGCATGCCTAACATGCGTGAGTTCCTGAGTTCAAACTCCAATAAAATAAAAATATCTGAAATAAAATAGAAAAATATGAATTATAAAAAACAAATATGACTTATAACTGAAAGTCAAATGCGGTCAATAGAAGCAGGTGCCATAAATGACAAAAATGTTGGTATTGATGGACAAAAACTTTTAAATGAGTTATAAGCACCTTAAAGAACTTGTCACTGCTATTGTAGCAAGGGGAAATTGAACAAAATTCTGTAGAGGGGAAACTGAACAAAATAAATGAAAAGAAGGAGAATTTCAGAGGAGAAATTAAAACTGTATAAGAAGGCCAGGGATTTAGCTCAGCAGCAAAAGTGTCTGCCTGGCAAGCTCAAGGTCCTGAGTTCAATTCCCAGTACCAAAAAAAAAAAAAAAAAACAACTGTATAAGAAACCTAATTAAAATTCTAAATCAGGAAAACACAAGATATGAAGTAAACAATTAATTGGATAGGATTACTAGTAGACTAGACTAAGCTGAAGGAAAAAATCAGTGAACTTGAAAAAAGGATAAAAGCCAGTGTCCTAACTTAAGCACAAAGTGTAGAAGGAAGGAAGGAAGGAAGGAAGGAAGGAAGGAAGGAAGGAAGGAAGGAAGGAAGGAAGGAAAGAAAGAAGGAAAGAAGGAAGGAAGGAAGGA